TGTGTGCACAGTGGTTCGCCACGTGAGTGAGCGCTGCGCGGAGCTGAGCGCGCGGGTTGCGTGTGGGAACGCGTGTGGTACTGTGTGTGCGTAAGCTCGCGGCGTGCGTAATCGGCGTACCCCAGGTGCGCGATTGTAACGTGAGCGGCCAGCGCGGCGCAGAGAAGCGCAAGAGTGAGTGCCGTACAGAGCTGTGTGTGTGGGTGTGCGCGTACGTAATTAACCATGCCTGCTACGCGGACCCGCGGTGGAGTGGAACCCTCGGGCGACGGCTCCCACACCATGGGTGAGGAACTTAGCAGCGGTTCGCTTAGCAGCGGGGGGGCGATTGATGATGCTAGCCCGGCCGTTAGCATTATCGAGGGAGGGATTTCGGGGGCTAGCGACCCCCACAGTCTCTCTCTCCTCCCGTGGTCGCGTGGATTTTTCTCCGGGTCCTCCGGTTTGTACCTCCACGTTTATAATGTCCGTAATGCTATAAATGTCCACGCGATAAGCCACTTCACTGGGGCTATCCTTCTTGGCGAGGTCGCTTCTGAAAAAAGAAGCGGCTTAGCCCGTGGGACCTTTACCTGTTAGAACAAAACAAAACACGTGTTTAGTTTTAGTTTCCACGCTGTCTTCTTGTTAAAAAAAAAAAGTTCATTTATTAGGTATAGCCCTGTGAGCCATTCGGCTCTTGAATCGGATGCAACCGCAACAAACAAAAAAACATGAACAAGAAAACATCTTGAAGTGACTATGTGCAAACAGAAAATCCAAGAAAAGACAGCAAAATATTGCAGAAAAATCACCGTACACCAACCCTGTGCAAATATCCCAGTAGGATGCAAGTCAAACAACAACAACCACAAGAGAACTTAGATTAAGGCCATCAGTCTAACTCCGCACTACAACAAACAAACATGGCCAAACCAAAAAACTTTTCAAAAATCACCAAAATAAAGCCATGAAAGCAATGAAACAGTGATCACAGGAACTGTGACCGAATTTTCACAATAAACGACGTAAACAACATGTACTACCAAACTCTGCAGCCATAGCTGGCTGCATGAGTCACTCCACAACAGTAGGAGCATCAGTCGGAGTATCAACATGTTTCAATGCACCTTTAATATCAGCACACTAAATCAAAATACAGATCATACTTTGCATACTTGTACGCCAGGCCTCGGCGTCCAAACCCACAGCAACGCACAGAATCACCGCACACACGACTCACATACATACAACAAAAACCCATCATAATAACAAGAAGGAACACAAAAACTTAACTAAGTTGCACGCTTATCATACGGCAGAGTGTATTGGCTGCCATTACCTTCCACCCAACCCACGAGACCCCCGCAGTAAACTCCCCCGCCCAGGTGCAATTCTGCTAGAACAATAAAACTTGGCTCACTTTATTAACAGCAAAGCCACAACCCACCACCATTACCACCACGACCACCCGCAGGTCCAAAGGGCGGACGGGCTGCAATGCATCCGTCGTCGTTCAGTCGTCGTTGACCCAGCGACGGTGACCTCCGGCTCCTCGGTAGCCACGAGGTGGGGAGGGAGGGTTCTGTGCGGGGTAACCCCCTGGCCACCCCACGACAACTCGAGGCGACTCACCTGTAGAAGTTTTTTCGCACCGTACGTAGCCAACCGCGCTAATCGTAGGTGCGGGGGGGGGGGGGAGCATACGTTATCTGCTGCTGTAAATGTCCACGCGCTGAACACATTGTCCTGCGGAGGGAGCTGGTAGGAACGTTGGGTTGCTCGGTCAATGGCCAGGGTCAACGGCGGCGTGGTGTATTCCGCAAATATGCCCGACTGTGAGTGGCGGGCACAAGCCGGCGTGAGTAGGTTAAACGTTGAGTTTTATAAGGGCACCACGGGGTGACCAGCCCCTCCCCACCCAGCCCCACCCCTCCCATCCCCCCCACCCAGCCCCACCCTCCCCACCCATCCCCTCCTCACCCCCCCCACCCAGCCCCTCCCCACCCTCCCCACCCAGCCCCACCCTCCCTCCCCACCCTCCCCTCCCCACCCAGCCCCTCCCCACCCTCCCCTCCCCACCCAGCCCACCCTCCCCACCCAGCCCCTCCCCACACTCCCCACCCAGCCCCACCCTCCCCACCCAGCCCCTCCCCACTCTCCCCTCCCTACCCAGCCCCTCCCTGCACGACGGATACAATAATCCCCTGTGGGCTGGTGTAACCAGAGGCTCCTACCAGTATAATACTATTTCTTGACTTAAAGCTTTCGTGACTGCAGGAATTCATATTCTTTGGGTCTTTCGATAAAGTCACGTAGATAGGTTCAAAGAAAATAACGAAATAACAAAAAACTACGTTTCGATCGCAACACAAGCAGTCGTTATAAAAAAAAAACGTGGTTTTTGGTTATTTTTTATTTTCTTTGAACCTATCTACGTGATTTTATCGAAAGACCCACAGAATATGGAGAATACTATTTTAGTAAGACTATTTTTTTTTATTTAGAGCTCTTACTAATAGGGGTTTTCCCCTTTTTTCTGGCAACAAAACTGACACCTTTTGCAAGGAATCATGTTAACATTAATCACAATACTTGCAGTCAAATGCAAACAAAAAACACAACTCTGATCATTTATGCATTGTCCTTGGTAACTGATTGGTCCACAGCAGAGACAGCTTTTCTTAGAGCCTAGTCTCATATGGTGTTTGACCAGATGACGCATTTGACTGCAAGTATTGTGGTTAATGTAAACATGATTCCTTGCCAAAGGTGTCAGTTTTCGATGTAAAGCTTTCGTGACTGCAGGGATTCATCTTCTTGGTTCTTTTGGTAAAGTCACGTGACTTTACCGAAAGAACCAAGAAGGTGTCAGTTTTGTTGCCAGAAAAAAGGGGAAAACCCCTATTAGTCTGTTTTGGTACTGGCAAAGGAGGCCTCATGACGTAGAGCTTTTAGCAGCAGACAAATGCTGTCTTTAACGCGCGACGTTAATTCTAAAACGTGGCAGGGAAAACCCGGAGGTCCCGGAGAAAATCCACGCGATCACGAGGGGTAGAGAGAGACATCGAGACATCGAGAGAGACTTTTGACTTTTAAACAACTTTTATTGCCGCCAGCAGCAACAGCACTGGAGACGATTCCGATATGAAACACACAAAGCCACCAGCAATACAAACAAACGCTACAAATCCACGCGCTGTGGCGCTAAACGCACCGCGCACAACACGAAAGAAAAGCCACGTGGTGGTGGTGGTTGTGGTTGTGGTGGTGGTTGTGATGGTGGTGGTTGTGGTGGTGGTGGTTGTGGTGGTGGTGATGGTGGTGGTGGTTGTGGTGGTTGTGATGGTGGTGGTTGTGGTGGTGGTTGTGGTGGTGGTGGTGGTTGTGGTGGTGGTGGTTGTGGTGGTGGTGGTTGTGGTGGTGGTTGTGGTGGTTGTGGTGGTCATCGCGCACGCCACGGTGACGAGCGAGCGCTTCAGAAGGTGAACACGAGGGTGCTGTCCACGCTGGTACAGAGAGGGGCGTTCGAAGAAGACGTGCACATCACCGACACGTGTGTGGTACATGGCGTGCTCCAGCCGGAGCAGCCGTCAGTGTCACCTTGCAGCATTTTGTATCCTCGTTCTGTACAGAGAGACACGCAAACTCCAATAATACAGCAGGTGTCAGGGGTCGGGATCGAACCTATGACCCTCCTGCATACCAGACGAGGGAGGGTGCTTCGAACTCCTCTTCTTCTTTCGCATGGCATTGTGAAAAGCAACAGTTTTCATTGTGTTCTTCACGATCGTCATAAGGGGCCGTCCATAAATGACGTCACGCGATTTTGGACGATTTTTGACCCCCCCCCTCTCGTCACGCGGCGTCACAAAAAGTCAGACCCCCCCTCAAATATGACGTCACAAAGCTCTGCCCCCCCCCAAAATAAAACATGCTTCAAATCGCTTTAAACTATTGTCATTGTAGTGCGTATTTAATGTGGCGCTGCACTCTGATGTTGTAGGAGAAAACATTTATGAAAAAGTCTATTTAATTAAGTAGAACGTGTCGTCTATATTTATTTAAAGTTGCGCATTTTGATGTGACGTCACATTTCTCACCCCCCCCCCCCTCGTCACACATCGTCACAAATGTCTGACCCCCCCCCTCCCCAGGTGCGTGACGTCATTTATGGACGGCCCGTAGCCAGATGCTGCAAGGTGACGGTCCCACCTGAAGACGGAGACTTGTGTTGCCTCCGAAACGTCGTGACTTAATTGAGTTATTTTCATTTATTTTTAAATCCTTTATATTAAGTTCACTTGCTTGCGTGCTTGCTTGCTTGCTTACGCCCGTGCAAATCTTTCGGTCGTTTTATAACCCACTTCCCGTGATCCAATCGAGCTGACATTTTGCACACAGACTCGTTGTGCGTGACAATTAATTTTCGTGAAAATTTTTTTCCAAAATTTTACACTGTTTAGGGAAACATTTTAAAATATGAAATTACCAATTGCTTAATGCTGGCAGACAATCATCTGACCCATAGGTGACAGCCATCTCAAGCCAGAGGACGAGATGACTCTAGCCGCCACGCATATAAAGGATTTACGGGTTAATTTTTTATTTTATTTTATTATAATTTTTTACCTACGTGACTTCACCGAAAAACAACCTAATAGGATGGACGGCCCTTAAACGAATGCAAACGTTCCCCATCCGCTCCAGTGATGAGCTTTGACGCAGTGTGGATTGCAGGGACACCACCACGATGTGCCACGGACGGAGAGGTGGGGGGGGGGTGCGAGGCGGGGTTCACTCAAAACGAACAAGGCGCGCGTGGCTGACGTGGCCACGCGCGTGTACGCGCGCGCGCGTGCGCGTGGAGAGCGGTGGCGCAGCGGTTAGCGCACGGCGCTGCGGTGCCCGGGCGAACCCGACAGAGTTCGTCTCCCGCTCCACGACCAACACCGGCGATGGGAAATATCGGTTCTGGGCCGCCCCTAGGTCAGCTCGGTCTTCAATGAGCACCTGGTGCCGTGTGCACAGGACATCGGCGCCGTGGGCAGACGAGGTCGGCCGGGCGTGGTGCTGGCCACCCAACCCACATCAGAATCTTTATTCACACTGGAGGAGGAATCTTATGAGCAATAAAGCTCTTTCCCCCCCAAAGCTGCCCAACAAACGAAACACGATCGGAGGGTTGCCGGCCTTCGCAAGGTGCTACTCGCTCCTCGACGGCACTTGCCCCTCCCCCCCAACCTGCCGAAGGCTGCACGGGGGATCTTTGTCTTTTGTGCGAGCGCGCGATTAGAGGGGGGCGACCTTTGGAGCCCGTGAGCGTCGCGGTCGAGAAGTTTCCATCGGTTCGAACGCGCGAGCGGTCGTGCGAGGTTTTGAGTGGATTAAAACAAAATTGAAAAAACCCGTCGCTTTTCACGATGCCATACGAAAGATGAAGAAGAATAAGAATTGGTTAGCGTAAAAAAAACTTTTTTTTTAATGCGGTAAAACAAAACAAAAAAAATACGAATTAATAAATCCGTTAGTGTTTTTGTTGGGCGTTTGAAGGTGACGAGAAGGAAGGGGGTGGGTGGGGAAGGGTCGCGAACGGCGGGGAGGCGACTTGATCCGTCGTTCTACCACCACCACCACCACCACCCCACGGACAAGAGACTCCACAACCGGCACAACTCAGCGCTGCCATCCGTTCTCGTGGTGGTGGTGGCGGTGGTGTCGCTTGTCTTTGTTGTTGGTGGTGGTGATTGGTTGGGTAGTGGTGGTTGGTTGATGGTTGGGTTGTGGTGGGAGTTGGGTGGGTGGAGGTAAGAGTTTGTGGTTGGGTGGTGGCTGGGTGGTGGTGTGACTTGGTGGTTGGGTGGTGGTGGGAGTTGGTTGTGTGGTGGTTGGTTGATGGTTGGGTTGTGGTGGGAGTTGGTTGGTTGGTGGTGAGACTTGGTGGTTGAGTAGTGGTGAAAGTTGGTGGTTGGGTGGTGGTTGGTTGGTGGCTGGTGGTGGCAGAGGTCACGATGGCCGTGCGATTCCACAACGCGGCCCGCGATGGCTTCCTGGAGCCGCTGAAGGAGGCGACCCGCCGTGACCTCAACACTCCGGACGCAGAGGGCCTCAGCCCGACCCTCATGGCAGCCTCGCGGGGACACCTCGAGGCCCTGCGTCTGTGCGTCAGCCGTGGGTGAGTGGCGTCGCCATCGTCGTCACGGTGGCATCGGTGGCAACATCATCATCATCACCATCATTATCATCATTGTGGCATTTGTCACAACATCATCATCACCACCATCATCATCGTCATCCTCATTTTGGCATTGGTCATAACATCATAATCATCACCACCATCATCACTGTGTCATTGGTCACATCATCATCATCATTGTGTCATTAGTCGCAACATCATCACCACCATCGTCATCTTCAGTGTGTCATTGGTCACAACATCATCATCATCATCATCGTCACCACCACCATCATCATCATCATTGTGTCATTAGTCGCATCATCATCATCATCATCACCACCACCATCATCATCATTATGTCATTAGTCGCAACATCATCATCATCACCACCATCAAGAACCATCACTGTGGCATTGGTCACAACATCATCATCACCACCACCATCATCTCATCATCATTGTAGCATCGGTCACAACATCATCATCATCACCATCATCATTGTGTCATTATTTGCAACATCATCACTACCATCAACATCATCATCATTGCGGCATTGGTCACAACATCATCATCACCATCATCATCACTGTGTCATTGGTCACAACATCATCACCACCATCACCATCATCACTGTGTCATTGGTCACAACATCATCACCACCATCACCATCATCATCACTGTGTCATTGGTCACAACATCATCACCACCATCACCATCATCACTGTGTCATTGGTCACATCATCATCACCACCACCATCGTCATCATCATTGTGTCATTGGTCACATCATCATCACCACCACCATCGTCATCATCATTGTGTCATTGGTCACATCATCATCACCATCCACCATCGTCGTCAATACCGTGGTGCCACCATCAGGATCATCACCGGCACTGCGGCAACTTTAGCCGCCACGTCAGCATCGACACGGCTCCAGATCGATACTGTGATCACCACCATCATCACCACCATCACCATCACCACCACCATCACCACCACCACTACCATCACCACCACCATCACCACCATCACCACCACCATCACCACCATCACCATCATCACCACCACCATTACCACCATCACCACCATCACCACCACCATAACCACCATCACCACCACCACCACCATCACCACCACCATCGCGCCACAGCTTACGAGATCCGACGAGACCGCACGGTGGAGGAGGCATGTCCTCATCCAGCAGTGGACGAATGTGTACATGTAACTACGTGCACATCCATGATAGCGGGCATCCCCAGTGCCGGGTTCACCTCGTAGCAAAAGTAGCAAATGCTACGGGCTCCGCACTTCCAAGGGCCCCACGCTAAATGCTTTCAAGCTATCAATTCCGGACCAGTGATTCTGTACTTTCTCTATTACTATAGTACTATACTGCCCTTAGACTTCTATGAACGAGCGGGTGTTTAAGGTTAGCGATTTGTCGTATTATCTGACTGTATAGCAAATGAAAAAATACAATTACTTTACTGTGCAAGTAAAAAAATACGTGTGTTTAATATTAATGTTTTTATTTATTTAGGGCCCCTTTATAACATCATGCTACAGGCCCCGCACCTAGCTTCATCCGGCACTGGGCATCCCGTGAGCCCAACATAAGATACAGCTTACTTAGCTGGACCTGCACGCCACTCGCCTCTGTCCATCTCATGAGATGATGCATTAATGTTCGACTTGTAACGTGTCTCTGCATCCACACACGTTCCACTCGCTCTCGCAGAAGGCGCCACGGTGGCTAGGAGATGTTAACTACCTCGCCTGGTATACAGGAGGTCGTGGGTTCGATCCCGACCTAGACGATGCCTGCTGTTGTATATTTGAAGTTTGCGTGTCTCTCTCTCTTATCATCATCACGGTGGCTAGGAGATGTTAACTACCTCGCTGGTATACAGGAGGTCGTGGGTTCGGTCCCGATCCCGAGGCCTGCTGTATATTTGGAGTTTGCGTGTCTCTCTCTCTTATCATCATCATCACGGTGGCTAGGAGATGTTAACTACCTCGCCCGGTATACAGGAGGTCGTGGGTTTGATCCCGACCCTGACGATGCCTGCTGTTGTATATTTGAAGTTTGCGTGTCTCTCTCTCTTATCATCATCACGGTGGCTAGGAGATGTTAACTACCTCGCCTGGTGTACAGGAGGTCGTGGGTTCGGTCCCGATCCCGAAGCCTGCTGTATATTTGGAGTTTGCGTGTGGTGACTAGGAGATGTTAACTACCTCGCCTGGTATACAGGAGGTCGTGGGTTCGATCCCGACCCTGACGCCTGCTGTATATTTGGAGTTTGCGTGTCTTTCTCTTTCTCTCATCATCACGGTGGCGAGGAGATGTTAACTACCTCGCCTGGTGTACAGGAGGTCGTGGGTTCGGTCCCGATCCCGAAGCCTGCTGTATATTTGGAGTTTGCGTGTCTCTCTCTCTTATCATCATCACGGTGACTAGGAGATGTTAACTACCTCGCCTGGTATACAGGAGGTCGTGGGTTCGATCCCGACCCTGACGATACCTGCTGTATATTTGGAGTTTGCGTGTCTCTCTCTCATCATCACGGTGGCTAGGAGATGTTAACTACCTCGCCTGGTATACAGGAGATCGTGGGTTCGGTCCCGACCCTGACGATGCCTGCTGTATATTTGGAGTTTGCGTGTCTCTCTCTCTTTGCGTGTCTCTGTTCTGCAGAGTGAGTGGAGTTTGTATGATCTCTCCCATTTCTGCAGTGTGAGTAAGTGAATGTGAGCGAGTGGAGTTTGTATGATCTCTCTCTCCTCCTGTTCTGCAGAGTGAGAGAGTGGAGTTTCTATTTTCTCACTCTCCTCCTGTTCTGCATGGGTTCCCTCCAGATGATCCAGTTTCTTCCCATAGCTAAAACAAACACACCTCACATAGTGTAACCGGTAATAGCCAAAACATCACAAATGATGAAAAATCACGGGGACATTCCTTAACCCTCTCCCGTTTCCGAGACGTCTGCAAGTTGCAGGGTGTGGTGCGTCCCGTTCACCGCCGAATCTCGGAACGCGCGCCAGCGGCTCGCCGTTAATATCATTTAGAAAGTCGTCGTTACTCACCGCAGAGAACCGTAGCGACACGACCGCCGCTGTCTACGACAGCTGGCGCCAAATTGTGCCACACGCCCCTGCAGCATGGCCTTGTGGGAGCCTCGGTATGTCTTCCAATCTAAAGACGTGCAGGTAAAATTACCTGGTTTTTTCTTCAGATTCCGTTCCGATGATGTACACGGTACGTCGTCAGAATGGAATCGGAAGGAAACCCGATGACGTACACGTACGTCAGAGTGTGAGTACGTCATCGGAATGGGAAAGGGGTTTAACCTTAGGAATCCCACACGCAAGTAAAAGTCGCCCTCGTAACTACGAAAAACCTGGCAGGACACTCCTGAGCGACAGCTTTGAGCGCTTTGCTGGGTCGACGAGCGTAGCAGCAGCAGCAGCGCCAATACCGGCGATGTTGGTGAACGCTGGCACACGGGCGCTTGTGGCAGTGCTCACCGACGTTATTAGCGAAGCAACGGCGCCAATAACGACGACGACGACACCGTCGGTGAATGCTGCGTGCGTGCGTGCGTCAGCGGAGACCCCGAGCGCACGGACCTGTGGGGCAACTCGGCGCTGCACCTGGCGGCGGGCGCGGGCCACCTGGAGTGCGTGGCCTTCCTGGCCGACATGGACGCAGGCCTCTGGGCCCTGGACAACAACTTCCACTCGGCGCTGGAGCTGGCGGCGCTGCGCGCCAACTCGGACTGCGTGGCGTTGCTCGACGCCGCCATCGCCGACAAGGGGCGCAAGGACCCGCGCGGAGTCACGCGCGCCAAGGAGAAGGCGCGGCGGGTGAGCGTGCGCGTGTGTGTGTGTGTACGTGTGTGTGTATACGTGTGTACGTGTGTGTGTGTACGTGTGTGTGTGTGTGTGCGTGTACGTGTGTGTGCCGGAAGGTGGTGTAGCGGTCAGCACGCTGCGCTACGAACCCGGCGACCCGAGTTCGATTTCCGCTCACGGCCAACATCGCTGACGATTATTTGAGCCGGTCCTGGGCCTCCTCTAGGTCGACTCATCCTCAAATGAGTACCTGGTGCGGTGCGTAAAAACATCGCCACCGGGGAGACAAAGGTGGACTGGCGTGATGCTGGCCACCCACCCCCTCGTGTGCCGTTCTGGCTTTCATAGGTGCTCGCTAACAGCACTTGCCCCAACAGCCTGTTACAGGCTACACGTGGGAGATGATCTTTGTGTTTAAGAGTGGGCAGCGGTGGCGTACTGCCTATAAGAGTGGCCGATATTTGTAACCGGTTCGGCGTGAAAACGCCATCGCCACCAGGGGACCCTGGCCACGCGCTGTTTCAACGGCGATGCCAAATCCGTTCCCGAAGCTCCGAGGGTGCCGAGCGAAACGTCGGACATCGCGCCGAAATGAGGATGCGCGCGACGGTGGCGGCCACAGCACGACCTGGACCACTGCTCGTGGCGGCGGCCGCGTGGCGGGTCGTTGCGACGGCAAGCGACGCGCGATCGTTGACTCTGCACTCTCCCATGTATCTCGCCGCGCAGGAAGCGGAGAAGCGCGTCGGCGAGACCACGAAGCTGCAGGAGAAGCACCAGAAGCGCATGGAGCGAACCGCGGCGGCGTCGGGGACCCAGGGCCGGGCGGCCGCGCCGGCCGTCGGCTCGCGCCGGGGCTTCGGCACCTTCGGCACCTTCGCGCGCATCCAGGCGAAGCTCAAGATCGGCACGGTGTCGCGCGCCGGCGGGCAGAAGGAAGCCGGCGGCGACGGCGAGATGGACGAGGAGCCGGGGAAGAGCGGAGGCGGATGGGAGAAGGCGGCGGGAGGATCGTTGCCCGAGGAGCCGCACTCGGAAGAAGAGTAAGGGGAGGGCGGGGAGGGAGCGGCCGCATGAGGAGCGCACTCGCTCGCTCGCTCGCTCGCTCGCTCGGTTTCCCCCAGGGGTTGGGGTGGTCCCCTGGCCGAGTGCGACCGCGTCTGGAGACGCCGTGCAGGCGCAGTGAGGGGTGTTAGTTATGGCTGCTGCTGCTGTTGTTGTTTACCAGAGGGGCCACTTGGGCAGATCGAGCAGTAATGTCACACAGCGGCGCGTGACAACATGGGCCCCCCCCTCCATTCCCCCCTCCCCCTCTCCCTCCCCCCCTCCATCCCTCCCCCCCTCCATCCCCCCCCTCTCCATCTCTCCTCCCCCCCTCCATCCCCCGAGTATTCAGCTGCTGCTATAAATTCCCAACACGGTGCCGATGAGCCACTTTCGCTGAGCCATCATTTGTGATGGCCCATGACGCTTCTTACTACTCGGTGGGGAGCCTTAAACTAAAATAAAAGTAGTTTATAGTTTAGTTCATAGTTGAGTTTATAGTACTGTTCATAGTTTAGTTCATACCATTGGAACCTCATTTGCCAGTAGATTGGTTTTTTACCCTTCTATCTGGCAACAAAACTGACACCTTTTTTTACAAGGAGTCATGTTTGCATAGACCACAATATCTGCAGCCATAATGCAAACAAAAAACACAACTCTGATAATGTATGCACTGTCCTTGAAGTTGATTGGTCCACACCCGAGACAGGTTTCCTTAGAGCCTAGTCTCACATGGTGTTGGACCAGATGACGCCAAAAAAAACCAATGATCAGTTTAGTTCATAGTTTAGTTTATAGTTTAGTTCATAGTACTGTTCGCCCTCCGCCACCCTTTCTCTCCGCAGCGCGAGCGAGGAGTCGGTGTTTAACCGCCCGGGGCTCGGCAACATGGTGTTCCGTCGCAACTTCCTGAGCGGCGGAGCGTACAACGTGGACTCGGAGAGCGTGAGGGGCCAGCGCAACGCGGTCCCGGCCTCCTCCTCCTCCTCCGCCGCGGATGGAGCCGGCTCCGCGGAGCGGCCCGGCGCTCTGCCGGCACACCGGGAAGGCGGCGGGTAAAGAGCGCGGCGGCGGCGACGACGCGCGCGGGGGGTCCGCCACCTCTCCGATTCACAAAAAACGCCGGGACGCACGTAGCGGGCTCGGGGTCGGCCGTGGCTCAGGCTGGGCCTCGTTGGGAGTCCTGAGCCTGGCCAGGACCCTGGCTCAGGGCCGGCTCTAGGTAAGCGCGGCGGCTCTGAGCCACGGCTCGCTTGAGTCGGAGCCGAGCCGTGACGCTCTCCCATTCCGATGACGTTCCATGTACGTCACCGGAATGCAGAGGTCGCAAACGGGTTTTGATTCCTTACCCGTACCCGTACCCGGCCGCACCAGGGTCGCAAACGGGTACCCGTACCCTACCCGTACCCTACCCGAAATGAGTGACAAACGGTGACTCACCAGTGACTCACGGCCTACCCGTACCCGTACCCGGCCGCACCAGGGTCGCAAACGGCTACCCGTACCCGGAGGACCGGAGAAAAATCCACCAATGACGACTGCCCCCCTCGCTCCCCCCCCCCCTTGTCTCCCACCCACAAGCTCGTCCGCGCTGGCGCTGCAAGCCATGTGGGACATGCTGGACGAGGAGGGCGAGCCGGCTTCGGGCGACGGCGAAGAGATGCCTTGGGAGGACGCGGAACTGGGCCTGGACGACAACGGCGGTGGCGGCGGCGGCGGCGACGACGACGACGACTGCGGCCCTCTGGACGCCTTCCTGGCGTCGGCCGGCGCGGAGGAGTTTTCGCCAGCATGCCGCCGCGAGCGCCTCGACCTCGAGGCGATGCTCCTCTGCTCCGAGGGCGACCTCGCCAGCCTGGGCATGCCCCTCGGGCCCCGCAAGCGCGTCATGGCGGCCGTCGACAAGCGCAGGAGGGCTCTGGCCGCGCCGGCGGGCGTCGCTCGCGACACCAAGCTGTGACGGAGAGAGAGAGAGAGGAGCGGACAGAGAGGAGAGAGAAGAGCGGACAGAGAGGAAAGAGAGGGACCAACGTGGACGCTCGTGCCCGGCGGCCGCCACCGCTGCGACTGCGCCGTTGGCGTCACCGTGGTCGTGCCGACCCCGCCGCCCGCCAGCGGCCGCGTTGGGTTTGCCGTCGTCCGGCCAGCGTGGCGAACAACAACGCGTGCCGATGCCGCGGCGGCCGTGTCGCCGTCGACATCGTCGTCATGAGCACTCCGTCGTGTTTCCGGGTTGCACCGATTTTCGGCGCGACGTCCGACATTTCACTCCACGTGCCAACGGTAGATTCTTCTTCGAAAGCCCCTGGCGCAGAGGGAAGAGGCGAGGGGCCTCCACCAGTGTGAGCTCTGGAGAGCCCCTCTACAGGGTGTTTGGCCTACTCTTCCTCACTTGGTCACGTGTCTCGTTGAACGCGGGAGTTGCCCACGTGTTGCCACGCCACAGGCAACGCGACGATCCACTTCTTCGTCTTCGGTCGTACGGCCGATGGAGACGCAGAGACGACAACTTACAATTTCACATTTGGGTGGCCAAGTCAGCGCGACCACGAGCAGCGGAGTGGTCGTGATGTGAGTGTGTACCGCCCCTGCGACGTTTTCTTTGTATTTGTGGACCGGGGTTGATTGCGCGCGTTATACGTTGTTGTTGTTACGGTCTCCGTTCTGGACGACCACAGTCACCACGCACCGCTACTGGAGAGTTTCTTTTTTGACATTTTTCATTTGCGCATCAGGCATCGTCCGCATCTCCTGCCATGCTTTGTGCAGTGGGTGCGGTTTAGGGTGGACCCATGAGCTCTAGATTTGAAGCTTTCGTGACTGCAAGGATTCATACTCTGGTTTTTTCGGTAAAGTCACGTAGGTAGAAAAATAAAATAAATGAAAATTAAATTAAATCACGACGTTTCGGAGGCAACACAAGCTTCCGTCTTCAGGTGGAACCGTTACAGCCAAAATCACTTACCACAGTGAAAAGTCGTGATTTTATTTAGTTGTTTTCATTTATTTTATTTTTTACCTACGTGACTTTACCGAAAAAAACAAAAAGTATGGACCCATGAGCTTGGTCGCAAGATCGAACCCAAGGGATCTTCTGTTTTGGGTCTTTCACAAAGCAGGAGATGCCTGGGGTTTGATCTGCCACGAAGCGCACGGTCCACCCCATAAACCGCATCCACTGCACACACCATGGCAGTCGAAGCGGCTGATACCCGATGGGTTAATGGTTGTGAATGAGCAAGCTCGAGTTAGACATTATTAGCAAGACCGCTGTGCTGTTGCCAAGTAACAAATATACCCCCCCCCCCCCAGCCGATCAGTGCGGCTAAGATGTTCGCAGAGCGGATGCGGACCTGCGGCCGTCTGGAATGCTCTTTCCTTCCGATGTTAGGAAGCCACTGCAAGTTGTGCAATTTTAAATGTAAATTAAAAAGATTTTCCTTCACAACTGATTTTTGTGCTTTTTAGTTTGTTCTTCACCCCCCCCCCCCGCACCTCCGATTAGCACGGTTGGCTACGTACGGTGTGAAAGAAGTTAAACATACATACTACGATGCACTAACACATTCCTGCGGAGGGAGCTGGTAGGAACGTTGGGTTGCTAGGTCAATGGCCAGGGTCAACGGCGGCGTGGTGTATTCCGCAAATATGGCCGACTGAGGGCAGGCACAAGCCGGTGTGAGTAGGTTAAACGTTTAAGGGCACCACGGGGTGAGCAGCCCCTCCCTACCCAGCCCCACCCCCCACCCTCCCCACCCCTCCCATTTTTGGATGCACGACAGACGGACACAATAATCCCCTGTGGGCTGGTTTAACCAGGAGGTTTCTACCAGTACTATACACGACGCTACTATACGATTGGAACAAGTGGTGGCATCATCAAAGAGGCAGGCGTCATGCACCATTCGCCCCCCACACCACCACCCCCTCGTCCTGGTTAAAGAGTAAAAGGAGCAGCTCAGGAGGGGGATGATCACCACACAGCGATTCAGGTGAATGTGTAATGAAAGGCAGACTTTATTAGGAAGACCGAATTGGCTTTCACATTCAAAGCGAGTATGCGAATCGCGATCCCAGCGCACCTAAATATTTATGGATACGTCCCCGATGAGATTGTACTTTAGTTGGGTGTGATACGGTACCACCTGTGGTGGACATACGGCACACCGGTGCACTATATACACGCGTCGCTCGCTCGCGCGCGCCCGCGTGCGTTCTTTTGGTAGACGCAGAAGAGCCAGCCACACGCGCCGAGCGGAACCACGCGCGGTGCCACGTGCAGCCACGTGGGCCATTCTGATCCCTCGTATAAACTCTGGGGGTGGGCCCGCGCGTAAAAAAACACATTTTCCACCTTCACCCTAAATAATTTCTCCTCTCGTACGAAAAAAAATAACAACCGGAAAAGAAATTTACAGAAAAAAAAAACGCAACTCCAACGCGTTCAAAAATATATTAAATATATATTATAAAAAAAAACCGCATCACATATTTTTGGAAGTTAGAGAACTCGTCAATCGCGACGAGACGGCATTAAACGTCGTGGCAGACGTCGTTGGCACGCGAACACGACGGCGTTTGGCTCTGCGTCCGTTTGCGAGAACACACTTAACGCGTGTCCTCGAAATTTTCCAGGAACGCATCTGCTGCTACGAGCAGCGCGCTCGGCGAGGCCTTCCTGCGTTCCCGTCATCGGCACAACGTCCGACGTTTCGCGGCCGACACGCGGCGGAGGAGGAACACTCGGCGGAAACGTTGGACGTCGCGCCCGAACGACGGCGCGGCGGTCGAAGCCGGATAGTTTACGCCGTTCCAAAAGTCAGGGTTGAGTTTTGTCGGGAGCGGCGCGCGAGCGTGCAGCAGCAGCAGCAGCAATATCCATCCTCGTCAAATTCCCCAAACGACTCTCGCACTCAGACCGATTGGCACCGACGCGGGATCCAAATAAAAAATAAAATACAAAAATTGAAAAGCTAAATAGAAAAAAAGGAGCCGAGCGGAAACTCCGGTGCTTCTGAGACGACCGAATCGGCCGGAACAGATGAAAAAAATAAAACTCGCACCGCAAGACACACGACAAACATTTGTTTACGGGGCGAGAAACACGACGGCTCGTTTTCTAGACGGCCGCGGAAGACACCACACAGAACGGACTTTTGATGTCATCGCGCGCACACCCAAACGCATCCGGCGAGGCCCGTTCTCCGTTCTCCGTTGGCCCAGGCGAAAGCTCGCGTCTAAGTAGACGTCATATTTGGCCGGCTGCTTATTGAGGATTCGTGCATACGTTGCAGGAGGAAGGAATGGCGGCCGCCTTCTCTTCAGGCTTTGTCATGAAGTCCGTTTTCAAAGGCGGTTTTTTTCTCCCTGCTGGCCACATCCGAGCCGAGTTTATTAGATTTTTTTTTCCGCCGAGCCGAGCCGGTAACTGAAACCGCGCTACGCCGCTGTAGCCGGCCTCGCAGGAAGACTTCCGAATCTGGCTCGGGGGGCCGAGCAGGGCCAGGGCCAGTGGGCCGGTGGCCACTGACGCGTTCACCGCGTGCGACGTCGGCCGGTATGGCCCCATGACGACGCGGCGTCACCGCGGCGCAGAGGTCGCAAACGGGTTTTGATTCCTTACCCGTGCCCGGCCGCACCACGGTAGCAAACGGGTACCCGTACCCGGCTACCCGTACCCGGCCGGGTAGGGTACGGGTATCGGGTACCCGATTGCGACCTCTGGGATGAAGCCATGTTGCAGGCGTGGGTGGGTTGATTCTAGGAACTTGAATTGTGAGAAGAGACAAGACGTTGGGAAATGAGTGACAAACTGTTACTCACCAGTGACTCACGGACTACCCGTATCCGGCCGCACCAGGGTCGCAAATGGCTACCCGTACCCGGCCGGGTACGGGTAGCCGGGTATCGGGTAGGGTACGGGTATCGGGTACCCGGTTGCGACCTCTGCCGCGGCGTCACCGCGCGTCTCGGCTCGCTCGCCGCGGCGCGCGACGTCAACGGTCAACGGCTCGGCGGTGGAAAAACAACCTGGAGCCCAGCGAGCCGTGCCGGGCCGGCTCGTTAGCGTAGAGGAAATGAAGTATTTACTGTGCGCCGTATAAACACCGCGTCCCGTACAGGTACACAAAGTCCCGTACACCGCGACCCGTGCAGGTGGCGGCCGGCGGCGCCTGCGTTTGCGAATGGTGCCCGCACCGTCCCCGGGCTTAGCGTCGCTCAACATCTGTTGAGTTCGCAACGAGCAAAACCCGGCACGGTCACCGCTGGCTCTATCCGGTCAAGAGAGGGCAGCTCCGCTCCGTCCCAAGCGCTGTCCAGGCTGGGGGGGGGGGGATTAACAACGCCGCCACCGGCGCCGTCGTCCGATGGGGGTTCTCGCTCGCGACGGAAGCCTTCAATAGACGGTGCCTTCGGCTGGCCGAGCGAGGCGACACGTCCCGTGTGAACGTCAACGTCGTCATCGTCGTCATCGTCGTCGTCACGTCTACTCCATCCGCACGGGTAACTCGTCTACGGATACGTACGTACGATTAAACTTCTTTCGCGCCGTACGTAGCCAGCCGTGCTAATCGGAGGTTAGCACGGTTGGGGGGAAAAGACAACAAACTAAACACAAAAATAAGTTTTAAATAAATGAGTTTGCAATTGAGGATATATATATATAATGTAGTATATATAATCTAGTAGATATATCGAACGCTGCATCCGGTGTCGTTCCAGAACGCCGTGACCCGTGTATCCCGGTGACCTGTGTAAAGTGCATCAAATCAGTTTAACGCAAGCTCGTCGTCGTAGTCGTCGTAGTCGTAGTGGTTTCCAGATCAATGTTAGCCGTAAAGGTTTATTTCAATGTTTTGGTGAGATCGCGTGATATATAAATGTGCCGTTAACCCGCCACCACCACCACCCGACATGGCCAATCAGGAAGGGTTTGTCACGTGACACAAAAGGTGCCGATTGGCTAATGTTGGAAAGTAAAACAATTCTGGCAAGTCTGCTGGTCGCGATCACCCCACGAAACGTCGTCAAAATCAAACCGTGTACGCCGTGGGTTTTACTCTCCAACGCACAACCGGCGTTTCCCGGATTGGCACGTTCTGTTGATGCGACAAATCTTAACCGATTGGCCGTGTCGGATGACGGCGGCGGGTTTAACGGCTCACATTTACGCGACCTCACCCCAAGCAACCTTGATTACGCGTCGAATCAAACGATTGGCGTGCGGCAGACGCATTCCCGGCCCCACCGGAGCCAACTGCCGACAGGAAGATGAACTGGCTGCAATAGACGAACCGGCCGGAACTGAACCGTCCCCATCGCTCGCGAAGGAGAGAGGGATAATCGCCCGTGAGGCAGCGCGCGTGCGATCGGCAACGCGATCGGTAACCTCTTTGGCTCCAGGGATCTCTCAGCCCTCTCCGTTAAACTAAACTATGAACATTTCTGTTAATTATTTCAACCAGGTAGAATAAGGCTCACCGAGCTTTGTAGCTCTTTCTCAGAAGTGACCTGGCTTTCGCAAGTGATAGCTCAACGAAGTGGGTTTATCATCATCATCATCGCCACGTGAACATTTATAGCAGCCAAACACTCGAAACGCGTGATGTTGATTCGAAAACGTGAAGGGGAAAAAAACGGAAGACCAGGACAAAAATCCACGCTACCACGGGGGGGAGAGACACGCAAACTCCAAAATTCACAGCAGGTGTCAGGGTCGGGATCGAAGCCGCAACCTCCTGCATACCGGGCGAAGTAGTTAACATCTCTCCAGCACGTCTTGTTTATATTCCTCATCTGCCACTGCTCTCTGCTATCTCTATCCCGCTTCATTCTCACGAATCTGCACCTCCTGTCGACCGCTCTCTCAACTCTCCCATTCCATCTCGCTCACCACTTTCTGATCTGTGCATCTCGGAGCGACGCGGATCGGAGCCACGTGGCTCGGAGCCCTCGGCGATCAGGAACGATAAACATCCAAAGCGATTTCCGTCTTAACATCATTTTTTTTTTGCTTACGTATATATACACACACACACAGACACATTCTTATTTTTGCGGTGGTAATGCCGCGGCAAACTGCCGGCGACGCGCGCGATTGGTCGAAGGGAAGTCCTGCGATCGCCTGACCCTGACTGCCGAGTGGTCAAACCCTGTTTAGGGAAGCGGGTAAGGAAGGAGACACTAACGCTTCCCCAACTCCTTCCCCGCCCCCACACTTGTGGATGCAACGTCGTGTTATATACAGAGGTGTATGTCAGTGCGTCCCTGTGTGTGTGTGTGTGTGGCACAAGCGTCGTGGTGACGTCACAACCACTTAGTGGCGAATGGCGGTTGTTGTTGTTGTGTGGCACAGCTGGTGCATCCGCCAGCCATCTCAAGTCAGCCAACCCATGGCAACTT